TAATAGGGCCAACTGCATGTACCTTCTTAGTAAGGTTATTGATGTAATTTCACTGTACTTGTACATTTTTATTAATCAATATATTTCCTTTTGGCTGATTAAAAAAAGGGCCAATTTGTTTCTTGTGTTGTTTGTTTACAATTGTTGGTTGTTTTTATTATTTGCTTCATCAAAATAAAAATATACAGTGCATTCAATCCTTGCTTTAGAAATGTGCAATCAAAAATAAGAAACAAGCCTAGAACTTTGCTTTTCAAAAATCTGAAAGAGGGCCCAATTCTAGAACAAAATTGTGATGCATTAAAAATTACATTCCCATCTATCAGTGCAAAATGCATCAGTGATGTCACCACTGCCCGATTTTCGACATCATCATGGAAGATCAGAGATAGACTAGTACCCTAACAAAGATTCATTCAAATGTTTCCTGCACCAGTAAACAAAATTTTAAAATTAAAATAAAAACAGAGTAACGATCGCATAAAAATAAATACAAGCATTATAGTCACGATTATTATAATAAACAGAAACAAAGATAGGATCTGTAGATAAGGCAGTATCAAAAAGGAGAATCAAATAACTAATACTTGCAATACACCTAAACATGTAAGGATCCATAAAACGTAATACATATAGATTTGATGGTTCAATTGAATAGAAGAAGCAAATATAAATGATAACCTAACCTCTCTGTAAGGTGGGATTTTTTGTTCAAAATAATGGCTGCTATGGAGTTTACAATTAGGTTTATTTCTCAGGTTATTCAGTGTGTGTCCACAGTTAGTTATTCCATTGTGTTAGTTATTCCATTGTGTTGAATGGAGAATTGGAAGGTTATTTCAAGAGAGAAAAAGGTTTAAGGCAAAGGGATCCAATTTCCCCTTACCCTTTTCTTTTAGTTATGTGCTCTTCTTAAGTATAATTTGACTCACAGTCAGTTTCCTTTCCATCCTAAGTGCCAATCTTTGGGTATCAGTCACTTAGCCTTTGCGGATGATCTTTTTGTTCTGTGTGGGGCTGATATTCAGTTATTCAGAATTATAAATGACATTTTACATCAGTTCCATTTATGGTCTAGACTTCAACCTAATCTACAGAAGAGTGCTGTCTTCTTTGCTGAATTTCTTCTGTTTTAAAAGCTGATTTACTGACTGTTCTTCCAATTCCTGAGGGTCTATTAACTGTCAAGTACTTGGGTGCACCTCTTATTTCCACAAGATTAAGGTATGGGGATTGTCTTCAACTGAAGGACAGAATACACTCTAGGATTCAGTTGTGGGCAAATAAGCTCCTGTCATATGGGGGAAGCATGCAACTTAATCAAATAGTATTGTTTAGTGTATAGATCTATTGGAGTTCCCTTATTATTTTACCTCAAAGAACTCTAAAGGAGGTGGAAAGTTTGATTAGAGCCTTCTTATGGTCCGGTTCTGAGCTTAAGCAAACAGGGGCCAAAGTTAAGTGGGAGAGTATTTATGTTCCTAAACAAGGAGGAGGGTTAGGTTTTAGATCGCTGAAAAGTTGGAATAAAGTCAATATGATTAAACACCTTTGGGATATAAGTATGAAGGCTGATTCACTTTGAGTTGAATGGATACATACCTATATTTTAAAGGATTGATGCTTTTGGTTTATTGATGTCCAAATGATTCCTCATGGACTATAAGGAAGATATTCAAGTTTTAGAGAGATTGGGCAGCCTCTTATTCATTACAGAATAGGGGATGGCAGTCCCACCTTCTTATGGCTTGATAACTGGCATCCGGTGGGGCCTCCTTATCAACATTTTGGAAGTAGAATTGTGCAGAATATTGGTAGAGCTCTTTATGTGAATGTAAGATGCTGGCATTGTAACGCCCTCAAATTAAAAGCATTAAACCCATTAAATAAGACAAGCATTGAGATTCAAAAGTGCCACATTCTTCCATTATATCAGAATTCTATTACAAAAGTATTACATGTTAACGACAAAAGCAAATGCCCTAAGGGCTTACAGCTTTCCAAGTTAACACTTGGTTACAACAAAAGAGTACTAACTCAATTACACATTAAGCCCTTGGCTTGAAATTACATGTAATACATCAAAAAAAA